AACTGCGAGTAACTTAGTCATTTTCTAGGTGACATTCTAATAAGGAACCGTTTTTGGATAATAGCCCAGTTGGAACTAATTCTCCACTATCCCTCCCAGTCAGGAAATAGCATGTCCAAGTTAATCAGATGTTCTGGTGCCTTGTATACGCTAATGTTTAGTATAGTGGTGGTGCTGCGTCTTACAGGATGATCAATTTGTAAAGAATTAGAAATAATTATAAAGCCAACAGGAATATTATTTCATCCTTTGTTGACTGAGGCATTAGCCTAGCATCTTGCAGGTACTTCTTAGTCAGGATTACAAACAGCTGTTAGTTTCTAGCGGCTCTACAAATCGTGCAGGTTAGTGAGGTTCTGGTTAATAGGATGCCAGAAAACAGAATTTATAATAGCACTCAAGCATTAATGCAGAATGTAATAACCATACCTTTCCTGAGAAACCAACAGAGCCTAAACTATCTTAATGGTTTAAATTAATCTTTAATACACTATAACTTTGGGGAGGGGGCTTTGCCTTTCAAAAATAAAACAGCCAAGTTGGGGAAGTTCGGATAGGGTGAGAAGAAAATGTATATTTGATAATACATTGTCAGAAAATAAAATTTGTTATGCAGTGGCCATCTAGAAGCACAGCTTTCAAAAAGATAGGATATATTTATTTAAAAATTGGATTTTAATCACAGACTTCACTTACAAAGTTTTGAAAGCTTTTAAATGCAATTGAGTTTCATTTTTTATTATCCTACTACAGAACCATTCAGATTTTCAAAACAGATGAATTTTTTTTTTTTTTTTTTTTGCGGTATGCGGGCCTCTCACTGTTGTGGCCTCTCCCGTGTGGAGCACAGGCTCCGGACACGCAGGCTCAGCGTCCATGTCTCACGGGCCCAGCCGCTCAGCGGCACGCGGGATCCTCCTGGACCGGGGCACGAACCCACGTCCCCTGCATCGGCAGGCGGACTCCCAACCACTGCGCCACCAGGGAAGCCCCAGATGAATTTTTTTAAAAGATCAGATCTTTCACCTTAAGAGACAGCCAACAAGAAGGGGGTGGAGAACACAGTACAAATTCCAGTGCCTTCTGGCCTGAAGGACACCTGGAGTCCACCTGTGAGTGGGGGACCTAAACCTTTTTCCCTGGGAGGCCAAAACCCGACCTTGTTATCAGCCCAGGTTTTATCTTAAGATTCCTCTGGGGCTTCCCTGGTGGCTCAGTGGTTGAGAGTCTGCCTGCCGATGCAGGGGACACGGGTTCGTGCCCCGGTCCGGGAAGATCCCACATGCCGCAGAGCAGCTGGGCCCATGAGCCATGGCCGCTGAGCCTGCGGGTCCGGAGCCTGTGCTCCGCAACGGGAGAGGCCACAACAGTGAAAGGCCCACGTACCGCAAAAGAAAAAAAAAAAGATTCCTCTGAACAGCCAACTCCCTTAGACCATATTGAAAATAAAAATTGCACTTCAAAAATTCTATTTTTGTACTTTCAGCAAAAATACCCATTGCGTAAAATGAAGCACAATGGGGTATATTATATCCTCTATCTTCCCAGATTCTTCACTTAAAATTTGATTAAGGAAATCATATACTTTGAAGATAGGGAATAATGAATTGCCATTCATAGTCTCCTGTGGTTTTAGCTTCAGAGTGTGAATTCTGCCTCTGCTTTTTTTATTCCAGTATGTAATTCAGAGTTTCCAGAAATGAAAATTTTTAAGATAGTCTACGCTCAGTGCATAAAGACTTTGAGAAAAGATGTCTTTGTTGATGTCAGCATTCCACAAATATCCTATTCCAGTGGAATTGTCCTATGATGTCCAATAACCTGTCTGAACTTGAGTCACTTGGTGATGTCTATTAAGTTTAGCTAAAACTATGTTACCATGCTCCAAAAGATTCCCATTCATTAAAAAAAAAAATTGATTTTCCTTTTTAAGTAATATTGTCATAAATAAAAATTATGTTAAAAAGCATTTAGAATATTTTAGAAGATATTCCATGTAACATAGCTTCCTTAGAGGTGATTTTTCTGAAATACGGTTTAGATTTAAAAATCTGGGTCTTCCCAAATAAAATGAATTTTCACTCATGGAAACCACATGTTTTTTAAAATACAAAGATGATTACTACTAGAAATGCCTTGGAGAGCATGTTGGTACTGAATGCTAGAAACTACAGAAGGAATGGGAATTTGAAGTATTTTCAAATCATCAGCTCCACTTTTTCTAATCTCCCAAGTACTTGTAATCTGTCGTCAAGTTATAAAAAAATTGCCTCTGTTAAATGTTATCGAAGTATGAATCCATATTTAACTAGATTGGTGACCTTTGCTAGTTGTGATGTTGACTTCTGTAAACTATATTTTAGAGTATACTGTCTAGGTGCTATAATTTGTCTTTTTGTTTCATTCAGTTTCTGATTCAAAAGTATTTTATTGCCAACTATCTACAAGGCACTCTTTTAGGTGCTATAAATATGATGATTTAACTTAATATGACTTAACTTAGCTTAATATGATGATTCTTTCCTCAGAAAGCTTATAGTCTATAATTGAGATAATGCTTATAAATAAATAACTGTAACACATGTAAAACAACAACAATAAGAACTTTTAAGATCAATGCAGTCAACAGCTATGTGAGTTCAGAGAAGGGCAATAATGTAGTTCAAGGAGAATTTGAGATGGCTCACTCTGTGGAGAATGTTGCTTTTGACTGAATGTTAAATGTTAAGAGTAGAGTATTGGGCTTCCCTGGTGGCGCAGTGGTTGAGAGTTCGCCTGCCGATGCAGGGGACACGGGTTCGTGCCCCGGTCCGGGAAGATCCCACATGCCGCGGAGCGGCTGGGCCCGTGAGCCATGGCCGCTGAGCCTGCGCGTCCGGAGCCTGTGCTCCGCAACGGGAGAGGCCACAACGGTGAGAGGCCCGCGTACCGCAAAAAAAAAAAAAAAAAAAGAGTAGAGTATTTAGGGACAGTAGTGGCAAATTCTCCAGGCAAAAGAGAAAACAGAGATCCAAAAACTTGGTGCATGGACAGGGGATCATGTGTATTTCAACCCACATGAAGTGGAAAGTATAAAGGGGAAGAGGACTGGAAACTAAGTAGGGGCTGGACCGTGGATCCTTGAATACCTAGCTGAGTGTCTGAGTGTTCTTCAGTACCAGTGGGAACCAGCAAGACATCTTGAGCGTGAGCAGTAATGTGTGATGTGAAATACAGTGAGGATGAACAGAAGGCAGAGGGAAGTTAGGGTTCCTTTTGAGAGATAATGAAGGCTTAAAGTAGGAGTGCCTATGCGGAGATATTGCACAGGTAGGTAAGAGAAGCATGGCAACATTTGTGATGTGGGGCAAAGAGAGGACTTAAGTGTGACCCAAAGTTTTGAACTATCATCCTGTAAAATAACAAGGATCCTAAATCAGAGTTCTCCCAGGCAGTCTTCCTTCCTGTCACCCCTCTTGGTATCTGTCTCCTCCAGACCTGTCTTGTAGAGCTGTGCTCCTGTTAAAAGTAAGATAGTAGTTGTCTACTTCTGGCTTGTTCAGTGAGTTGCAGTGAGGTAAGAGTTGTGTGGGACTTGCTCCTGCCAGCTTCAGGGATTGTTTGCCTCCGACAGTCACAGAACTCTAACTGGGTTGTGCCATCCAAGTCTTCTTTAGTTACATGCCCTGGAAACAATGACCTGCTGGGATGCATAGCCCCTGCCTGCCTCACAGCATCAACACGATCTCTTTCTCCACCCCCATCACTCATCTCCTGGTAGCTTCTGAAATACACCAAGCCTCTTTCCCACATCGGGGCCTTTGCCCATGCTCTTGCCTGAGACATCTTTCCCATCTGTTTCACATGTCTAGTGCTTTGCCTGTTTTTGGCCTTAGCTTAAATGTCATCCCCTCAAGAGGCCTTACCTGATCATTTTCTCTAAAGAAGGTCCCACCCGCTATTCTCTGAGCCCTTTGTTTCTTTCTTGCCTATTACTTATTACAACTTAGAATTATTTTATTTGCATGCTTACTCATTTTTTGCCTCCTTTCCTGACAGAACGTAAAGTCTATGATAACATAAACCATGTCTCTTTTCTTGACAGAACGTAAAGTCTATGATAACATAAACCATGTCTCTTTCCTTGATGGCACCAAGAACTGTGTCTGGTACTCCTTAGGAGACACTCGATAAGCCGTTGTTGAATTAATGTGTGAACTACCTGTTCAGAATGCTCTGTGCAACCTAACACTGTCATCATTTACCCTCAAATAATTGGATTAAATGTAAAGAGAGTAGCAACAAAAGCCTTCAAATTAACAGATTCTTATTGAAAAGTATTCGTATGATTCACATGGTGATATTTGGGAAATAGAACATAAGTATTCTCCTTAAATTCCTGAATTTCCATAAAAGCTCTGTGGTGCCACACTGCATTACCATGATTTTCGGCCTTTTAAAAAATGAAATAGAATGGAGAATAGACTAGAAAATATCAGAGTGCATTGCATGTGGTAAGTGTAGTTTCAAGAAACTTTTTAGTGTGTATGTTGGAGGTCACAATATGAAACTATTTTTTACTGTGACTCCAAGTCAATATATGCTCTGGTATTTTCCATGTTATCCTAATCCCCAACCTGGCTGCTGTTATAGCTCTTCAGAGCCATCATTGAATTGTCATTCTGCAGTGTTAGGATTGCCTGTGGCCTATTTGCAGTGGAAGCCTTCTCACAAATGCACTCAAATTCAATTTTTTTTTAGTATTTTCTTATTGATCAACATACCTTAACCTCTCTTATAATGCTCAGTCTCACTGAAAAGAGTGTTCCCAGAGCCCCTTTCACTGCAGAGTGCTGGGCTGCTATTAAGTTAACCAGGAAAAAATCACTCAGGGTTGGACAGCAGTAAGATTTGCTGGTTTTGACATCAAGAATTTGGACAATGATTTGACACATAGTAGCTATATTTGCTAAAATGGAATTTATGTAACTCCTTTTCTCTTTTTTTCCTCTCTCTCTAAGCTGCCTGCCTTGTGCTTGGCTGTATGATTTTCCCTGATGGCTGGGATTCAGATGAAGTAAAACGGATGTGTGGAGAAAAGACAGACAAGTACACTCTTGGGGCTTGTTCAGTCCGCTGGGCTTACATCCTGGCTATCATTGGGATTTTGGATGCCCTCATCCTCTCGTTTCTGGCATTCGTGCTTGGTAACCGACAAGACAGCTTGATGGCAGAGGAACTGAAGGCAGAAAACAAAGGTAAGATTGCTTTGGGGAACTCTTACCTGGACACCTCAAACACAAAAAATGACACTCTGCATTCTTTCCCGTCTGGTAGCAATGCATCCTCTCTGGGTCTAATTTGCTGCATTTAAAAAAATTGAAGTATAGTTGATTTACAGTGTTGTGTTAATTTCTGCTGTACAGCAAAGTGATTCAGTTATACATATATCTGCATTCTTTTTCATATTCTTTTCCGTTATGGTTTATTGCGGGATGTTGAATATAGTTCCCTGTGCTATACAGTAGGACCTTGTTTGCCAAGGGGGAGGAGGGTTGGGGGAAGATGGATTGGGAGTTTGGGACTAGCAGATACTGCATCTTTTAATGGTGTCTAGTTCACAGACTTTTCCCAGACTCAAGACATTTACACAATTAAAATAGTGTATTTTTATGTTTACCTTTCTGAGGCTTTCTGAGTCCATGGCTATGAAACAACAACTTTTTTGGGGGGGTGGGTGTGGGGAGGCACTACTTGGCCAAACAGCAAGTGCTTTCTCGCCACGTATTCAGCTATTTTCCAGGTTGAAATAAATGCCTGGGGAGTCTTTGAGAATCATCTATAAGCGTCTTTGTTAAACTGCTCACCATCAATATACTTGAATTCAGACTCAACCTCTCAGAAAGAGGTAGAGATACTGGCCACAAATAGTTACAGTTAGATATTTCAGTGTTTACCTAATTAGCTGAATTTTAAAATGTGTTATCTGGGTAATCAAGTCTTCAAATTTCTCTTCAAAAAGAAAATGCCTTCTGTAACACACACACAAACTAGGATAGAAAATAGGACATTGACTAGTGAATGATACATGAATATTCTAGTGTGCCAGTAAGAGCTAGCAAGTCGTTATTCAAGATAAATCTTTTAATTTTCTTTCCACATTTCTAAAACAATTTCTTGGGATAGAATTTTACTGTCTCTGTTTTGTTAAAGCCTTAGGTTCATTAAATTGTTTTGTCTTTATGTTATCTTTAATACTTTGGACTTGTATCAGCACCTTCAACTAAGTGGCTCCTTCTTCTAGCTTTTATTCCTAATTAAGAACTAAATCCATCTTTGAATTATGAAATTTAGTTTATTTCAAGTAGTGTTTACTTGAAAAACTCTTCACTGCCTCAACATGCCTCAAATATAAGCATACATTAGTATCTACGTGAATGTCACATGTAACGATAGTGTAGCAAGCTTTATACTTAGAGCATCACAATTTATGCTCATAAGCCATGAACTATAAAGAGATGAATAGAGAAGTCCAGGAGAGGAGCAGTCACCCGTGAGCCCTTTATTCCTCTGATTTATAGACAGAATACATATTAGTTTACTTGGGTCTATCAAAAATATTCTAAACACAAAAATAATCCTTTCATAGGGGAATAGTGCTGAACTTCCTAAAAACATGACTACCTCCCTCTGAGTTGCCTTTTCTAGATGCTGATTACACTTATAAAGCATGTTGCAGGTTTAAAGTGCTTTCACATGCACTCATTAATTTGGTGCCCTTGGCTATTGTCTTTGTGTCTTGTTGGATGTACACAGACGGGTCTCTGTCCTGTTAACTTCACTTCAAATTTAATAGTAGAGATGTCTCAATATTAGAATAAATTACCTTTCCCTAGAGAATGAATTAAAGAAAACTACTTTGTTCTGCAAATGCTTGATTCTCACCACCACCCAGAATTCTATTTATTCACTGTACAATTCAAAGTTATATTGAGAACCTTTAACTTTTCAGATATCCTTTGACCACATAAAAGAAGAAGAAAATTCAGAAGAAAAAAATAACAAAGCCAGGAATGTTTTCACTTGGCCACTGAGAATTCTAACTCACAATCACACATACAACTGAGAATTCTCCTGAATTCATACTTCAGGACGGAACAGGCAGGATTATAGAATAATAATCAACAGTTTCCAAGATGGGTCTTTTCTACCAGCTGATTCAGTTAAATGTGGATGTCTCATCCCTTCTGTCTAGGTCTTTATTAAAGAAAGCATCATTTTCTACTCAATGATATATTGGAAACACCTTGTAAAAGCATTAATGAGAAAGAAGATTAAAATAGGCCAATATAAGGTTTAGGGACTATCTGTGAATAATTTTTCTGTGTTCATCATCTTCTCCATTTGAACGTATCATATTTGGATGTATTCTAGAGTTTCTTCCATCTGGTTCTGAAGGACTAAAATCAGTAGCAGTTCATCTGTATCAAATCAGATAGATCTAATAAAGCAGCAGAGAACACCAGGCCATATTGATGAAACATTTCAATTCTACCACATTTTTATTTCACAATTGAAATTGCTTTTCCTGGAACTCTGAGAATGTATCAACAGTTCTATTACCCAGGCACTTCTGATCCGTAAACAATAGGGTGTTGTAAAAATCAGAGCAAGGTTTTCTAAGCCTTGTATAAAATGTAATCAAACCTGCATGTTTCTGAGAAACGGTAGGAGATTTACAGTTGTAGAGAGTAGCCGTTATTGTTTGTTATTATTTAAACACTTGTTCATTGTTAAAACTTGCAAAAACTTAGGTTGTTTGAGGGAAAACCAATCAGTGGTTTATTTGTATGTTTGTGTATGAACATAGTTTCACTAACCAGTAGTTTAATGGCTTTGAAGTGCATGCAGTAACCAAAACTAAATACATCATTGTTACCTTCTCTCAGATTTCACTTCCCTGAGGATCTGTAAGAATAAGTTGTAATTGTGAAATTGGTTTTATATAGGTACTTTGCATGGCTACGTTAATATAAATTTTCTCTTATTGAAACATTGTTTTTCACTATCAATTTTTTTTTTACTGATAAAACTAACGTGATGTCCTGTGATAGCTAAGGCCTCCTTTGGGTTCCAGGGCAATGCAATGAAACAAGAGGCACATCTAGCTCATGGAATTTTGGAAGATGTTATAAACTACGTGATGCCTTCTGGTATCATGGAAGCAGATAATACCATAACTCAAGCTTTGACTCAGAAGAGGAAATAGGTTATGATATAGGTTATATCACCACCCACACTGTAGTATCTTTTACAGTCTTCCAGTTTTATGGCCTGTCAATCATCCTAACAACCTACATCTCATAACAAGTAGCAGGACCATCATAGAAAGAATAAACCTGCAAATGTGGCATATGCCCCCAGTTCGAAGAAGTTTGTCCTGAAAGGTCTCATTATCGTTTCTTCTTAATGTGGCTTTTGTAATCTAATAATACAATTGCGCTGTATATCTAGAAAGCCACCAAATGAGTTCAGTACAATAAGATATTGCTTAGATCCATAAGTCTTTCCCAGCAACCACCCAATGGTCAAAACAAGAATCACTGTTACAGCCTATATCAGAGAAGGGAAGGGAATGCAGCTCTAATTGTTGTCTTTACTCCACTTACAGAGTCTTAGGGTGAAAGGTGCTCCATAGGATGCTCCAGAGCCATAAATTAACTGTCACAAAGGTGCTATTCAAAGGGAAAACGGGGAGATCCACAGATGAACATCTCCACCTCTGTCTCTTAAGATAAATGTCCAGTGAACTCACCTCGATCCCCTTTTCATGTTCCCATACCACACCTCCCACAGCATTTCATAAGGTCCTCCTTTTCCAAGAGTGTAAATATAATTTGAAAGAGGTCTAAGCTGAAATTTATCATAAATTGTGAAATGGCAAAATCTGAATAAAGGAGTTTTAACATTGTTTCACCAAACTGAAAGCAACAACTTTGATGATGCAAGTGTTGTCTTAGGGCAGACTTCTGTAAGAGAGAAAGTTAATCATCTATGGCGCTCTAACAAACATAAAAACAAATAAAAAACAGCCCCACTGAAAAACAAAGAGGAGTGAAAACTCTAAATATCCAACTGACTTTATACAGGAGTCGGCATATGCGAGAAAACTCAACTGCATCCCCTGCATGTTGAGGGGAGCCAGCCCTGCAGGCTGTGTGCTGTCCCTGGATCTGGGGCTAGTAGCAGACAGGCAGGTGTTCATTCTTGTTTTGGGCGTTGGGCAGCATGATTTCTAAATGAGCCAACAACCGTCGGCATTTAACCTTGATATGCTGCTTAAGTGCATATTTTAACACACTGAACTGTGAAGTCAATTTCATTATGTAAAATTAAAGTTTCATCCAGATAAAAAGGATTTGAAATGAAAGCTTCATTTTCAGTTTCTTTCATTAATTGTGAAAGGATAAATAATTACATTTTCAAGAGCTCCTATGCCACAAATATCTCTTTCCTTGTCAGACACCATTCATAAAGAGGTCTATTTCTGCGTTTATGTGTATGGTCTTTGGAATTGCTTATCAGATAATTGGGGCCTCTCCTGAGCAGATTTAAAGTCACTTTGTCTTCTAGCACTTTAACTTCAAATGAGAAAACATGATTATCCATCAAGAGGTGACTCCAGCTGCCTCTTATTTATTAAGTGGTTTAAGCTCTTTAATGCTGTAATAGGGGGAGTTAGAATAAATTCATTTTACTTAAATAACTAATTGAGAAATGCTTCAAGATTTTGAGTTAAGGTACCATGCCGTGCCACGGCCTCATTGAGGGCGGTAGTGTGGTCTGTGGAAAGAGTGTGCATTGCCCAGAGCTGGTGTGATGTGACCCGAGGAGCCTTGCATTCATATCTTAATAGTCCCGGAATTCAGCTTCCTCCTCTGTAAAATGCAGACTTACCTAAATGGCATCTGAGGTTTCTTCCAGCTGTAAAATATTCCAATTCAAGGGACACCTTCAGAGGCGTCCTTTAAGGATGCTCTGAGAGTCGTAATAGCTTCTACCCTCAGAGCAATGAATACACTAAAGGCTCTTTTAGGGACTTGTTAGCACTGCAGGGGTGACTAGGAGAAGGGAAAGATAAAGGTCAAGGGGAGGGAGGTCCAAGATGCCTAGGTGTTTCTCCCTCAGCCGTGTACCTCCCCACTGAACCTGCTGTCACAGCCCCACTCGTGCACACCACCAAGAGGAGAATGAGTCA